TGATGAAACCATAGTGTCTAATTTGAGCCTTATCCCTATATAAAAATGATAAAAACTGACATGTCAATTTGGTACTGTATAATATACTCCCTAAGAGAATCTTCAAATGCAGGAATGTGCATGGTATGCATGAAAATAAATCCCTAATTCATGAAAAATAATTCCAATAAACGGTGTGAAAGAGACGACAAAAATGCCTGTGCCTTAAAGATATTGTCAACGGTAATATTTGATATTGTGATGTGACCATGTGGGGAAAAAAACAAACTATTGCCAGAATAAGACTAACTACTCAAGATCTACTAATAAGACCTCATCTCCTTTTTTTGGGAAAAAAAATTATAAGTGTATGCATAATACGAATAGTCTGTTTCTTCCATATTATCAAAGCAGTAGAGCAAGATGGAGACTCCATGCACATTTCATTCATAGATCTCTCTTCTCCGGAGACAAGATGAATTTTCTTTTCCTGATAAGTTATTAGTCAATATAATCATCAGGGAAAATATCAGATTGGGCTTTGGGAAATCAAATGCATCTCAAATCAGCAACAATAAAAAAGTAGAAATCATATACTGGAATATGAAGATATAATGATCTACGTATAACAAGTTTACTACTACCCGTCCCAATGTACTTAGCCAAACTTGACTTTTCAAGTCAACGGCCTCTAACTTTGACCAAATATTTAAGCTAATATATTTATGCAAAATTTAATAATTTTATACTTTTATGATAGTGTTTTTAACAAAGAACATTTTCATATCATTTTCATATTATCAATATTTTCTCTATATAAACATATAATCGATCAAAGTTAGACGTCGTTGACTTGAAAAGTCAAGTTTGGCTAAGTAAATAGGGACGGAGGGAGTAGTACTTATATTGAACATGTTACTAGTTCGAATAAATAATCTAATCTAGAATTGCACAAATTTAAAAACAAGACGTTTATGTTTTTAATCTAACATTCTAAAATATATAACTGTATAAACAAATTTGAATATATTAATAGCCAGCAAAATCGAGATTTGAAGTACACAAATCAATTCGGAAGGAAATGTGTCATTTACCCATTTATCGGGAGGCATTAACTTATAATTAGTGTCAATCGTAGTATATGACATTAACTTACAATTCCTATTTAGAAACATGATTAAAGTTTCTAAATAGGAATCCATGTTTTTGTATCCTCTAAATAGGCCTAAACATTAGATTTATATCCTTAAAATAATCAATTTCCCCCTAGTTCACCCATCATAGCCAAGGTAGTCCGACGGCGGCGGACGGGTGTGGCCACTGGTATGGTGCCCGGCGGCGGCCCGATGTGGCCACTGATCTAGCAATTAGCGGTGCCAACCCAGTGACCAAACTCGACCCACTATAAGAGTGTTTTTATCCAATCACAAATAATTACTTATATTTTAGGAATTAAAAAAATACTCGTAAGTCTTACTTTGACACTATTTTACTCCTATGTGATAATATTCAACACAAGAAAGAAAGAAAGTGTCACATAGTAGCACACAAAAAGTACTAAACATTGTGTGGAGTTTAATACAACAAACTCACTCGTGAAATATAAATTCGATACATTAACTCCCTCTGATTTAAGAAAAGCGACAAACCCCCTTGTGTTATAGGAGTGGTTATTAACGCGCAAAAACTCCTTTAATGAACAAATTTATATTAATTTCCAAATAAATGAAAATAATTAATATTTTTGTATAATTTAGAAATCTTGACAAAGTTACTTGCATATTCAATCATATTATTTTCTTAAGAAAAATATTTTAAAATTGTAAAATATGTTCTTAGAGTGGGTTTTGTGCATCCGTAATGATAACACGGAGGAGTTTGACGCACTATTTAAATCATATGGGCTAATTCGCCAAATTCTAGTACAAGTTGAGAAGTTAGTAATTTTAAATTACTTTAGTGATTCTTAAATTATGTATTTTTATAACTCTAATTTGTGATATTTAAGACTTATAACCAGTAATAATTAAAAATTACTAACTAATAATCACAATTTATTAGTTATAAATTGTGAAGACTTATTTATTATTTTTATTGTTAGGACAATTACTACAACAACTACTATTAAAATTATTATTTTTAATTATTTATTTATTTACTTATTTATTTAATAAAAAAACGGTTCCAAATCAGAACCATCTAATTCTGCTGAACCGTAACCGGTAGTTTTCGTTCCAAAATTTCAAAGGACCGATTTGGACTAGTGAACTTCTCGATCTAAACCTCATGCAATATTGGTTAAAAAACAGGCCATTCTGATTCTAATACCGATTGAATCTTAAACCGCGAACACGTTAGATAGAAGAGAGTTAAAAGAGAGAAAAAATATCTGATGCTAAAATAAATTAAAAATTTAATTTATTTTTACTTGTTTGTTTTAACAAATAATACACTGATGAAAAGAAAATGATGTTCTATTTCTAGTCTTTTCTTGGAGTTGAACGGGAAACACTCCAGCCGTATAGCTGATGGCATGTTTGTAATTTTGGTAAAAAACACGGTTTTTCTTGAATGAGCATCAACGCAATTTCGTTGATCATCAGGCCTGTTCTTTTGAGTATTTGGAGTCAAAAAATGAGCATCAATGTTCTCTGCTTCATATCTTTGAATTCGCTTTCTTTTTATGATTCTTTTCGTATATAAAAAACTCTTAAATTATGTTTATATCATTTCCAATTAATTTTAATATGTGAATCTAATATAGTATGATATGTTTGAAATTTGCAATATTATAAAATTTGCAATACGTAACTTACAAAATGAGTATCAAAAATTCAAAAGCTCATTTATGTATGCTCATTCATTTTGGACTTATACTCACTTGAGTAAAACATAATGTAGTATGATACATTTGAAATGTGTGACATTTTCAAATGAGCGTAAAGCAATACCAAATGAGCATACTTAAACACAAAATGAGTATAAAAAAAAATTGAAAGTTCATTAGTGTATGCTCATTCATTTTGGGTTTTATACTCATTTCAGTTTAACATAAAACTCATTTTCAATGTATTCAATATTAATTTGTGTGAGTTCATTTCTTTTAGGCGTATACTCATTTCTTTTAGACCCATTTAAAATCTCTACCATACTCAAAATTTTATTTATGTATGCTCATATCTTTAAAACCACGTACAACTTAGGTTTCCCCTAACCCAAAAGCTACCAAACTCAAAAATAAGTGTAAGAGAAATAGAAAGAGGAAAGGAAAGAGGGAACAGAGCGCGCAAAACCTATCTTCGCTGCATCTACGCAATCCATAGCCTCCAGAGCGAAGCAATCTTCACTGCATCTGCGCAACCCATCCATAGCCTCCATCGTCGTGCGCAGATCAGGCTCACTTGATTCTCGTTCCGGTCCCTCCTTCGGGTTTCGATGCCAAGACGGGCATCGAGAGCATTCTGCTAAATCTGAAGGCGCAGGTCAACAGCAGCCTGTTCCAGCTCAGTGATGACCCCACCCTCGGGAGCCTTGTTGGAGGCTCTGGGGGCGTTGACTTCACTGAGGGCCACATTGTTTGTCCTCAATGTTCTTGGACTGAGCACAGGTGGTTCTTCCCATTTTGATAGGTGTTTTGAGTAGAAGGGGAGGGTTTCTTACTTGATTGTTCGACCTCTCAACGAGAGCACCAATTGATGGACAGTGTACCCGAGGGGTAGTTTATCCGAGGGGTTACTGCAGGGAGTAACCTAGAGAGAAGTCAGAGCAAGTAAATAAGAGAGATAAAGAGTTCGAATGTGTATTTGAGTTGTATTTAGCGTGGTTTACAATGGGGGAAATGGGTGCTATTTATAGTAGCAATAAATGTTAGATAGGGACACGTGTCAGCATTCTGGCGGTCGAGGGGTCACCTCAACCGGGGTGGCATTGGCATTCGCATGTGGCCACATTAAATGCGGTGGTTGGATGCGACGTTTGTACCTGGTACGGTGATCCAGCACCTTTGGAATCTCATTCATTATCAGTGCTCTTTAGGTTGGAATAAACATCCTGAGAAAAGTAGACTGCATGCATGTATCTCTTTATGTGTATAACACTATAACTAATTGTAATTTACTAATTTATGGATAATGTAGGCATGTAGTATGAAGCTTCGGCCTCCTAATTTAACAATTCATTCTTTGCCGCCCCTGCCTGGCTGCCTCCCACCTCTAAATATTGATTTCCTATCTCCACCATCCACTCAGTCGGTCTTTACACAACTCTCAATACAAACATAAATATGAATCATTTAAAGGCTTATAGGTTCAATCTTAAAAGTAACCGGATCAAAAAGAAAACTTGGAATGATAGGGGTTTAGAGGAAAAGTTATGTCCACTCCAAGGGCTTGTTTATACATCTATGTATTTATCTATATACAAAGCAAGAGGGAAAAGCAGCCAATATTCCTGCCAAAAGATACTGGTAAAAAATAATGGGTCAGATCTGTTGAATTTTTTGAACCTTTCTGTTATGTGGGCCAGGTCATTAAAAATTGCTTTGATCTGTCAAACAATGTTGTCCATTTTAACTGCACCTGTGAGATGATATTTGCGTGCTATACCATTCAAATTCAGCATATAAACAATATCTCACACGATCTCTTCCGCAAATAACATCATTTGTACTGGTTGGTGATCACCTTTGAAACAGTATTGGAAAACGCCCTTGTGTTAGCCAGCAATGAGAATTCTCTTAATGCTAACAGTGTAACGAACGATGATGAAGGGGAGGTCCGGTTCCGGTTCGGGCCCGGTTTGGGCCCGGTCCCGGTTTGGGCCCGGTCCCGGCCCGGACCCGAGTCCATCCATACCAATGACCACTTCTGTTTTGGGCATCACATTAGTTGCAGGGGTAGAGACAGTTAAGACTTAAGATGAAGAGGTTAATAAATCGTACACTCCAATAAGGAGCTATATTTTCATTCTATGAATAAAAATGATCACATTTATATACTGTACGATAATGCATAAATTAAGATAACAACTACAAGTATTTATGATAAATTGATAATACGTTATGATTGTAATATTGACTACCGTCCGTCCTTTTACCATCAACATTATGATTTGACTCTTCTAGTTTATAAATTCTTAATATTTATTAAACTTTCTTTCAATGCATTTACACATTGCATTTGTTTCAAAACTATCATGTACTATTATTATTATCTTAAGCAAATAATAATACATAATACATAGTTACTAAAAAAATCTCGTGCATTGCACGGGTGAGAATCTAGTTCTTCCCAGATCAAGTTTTTTTGCATAGTTGAAGTTTTGTAGGCACAATATAAACCCTGCTTGGTTTGAGTGGATTTTCTTCTTTGTTGTTCAAATATTCATGTGGTTGTTCTAGATCTCTTCAATGAATAAACACAGGTTCAGGCAGCTGACTCGTTGCTAAAGTTGGTTTCGGAGTTGAAACAAATAGCCATCTTTTCTGGATTTGCTTCCTTAAACGACCATGTGGAGCAAAGAACTGAAGAATTCAACCAACTTGCCGAGAAGACTGACCGGGTATTAGCTGGGGTTGGAGAGGAGGCTGCTGCTACCCTTAAAGAACTTGAATCCCATTACTACTCTTCTGCCCTGAGAAGTAATTGTATGCTTCCCTGTGATGATAACCATGAATCAAATGGTTGAACATCCAAACATAATTGCTTACTTTACATGCTTTGTATTTCATGGTATTAATTTTGGTTATTTTTATAAAGAAACTTAATCTCCTCGTTGACTTTAGGGATGGACCGGTCTGGTCCCCGAATGGCCGAACTGGCATCTCGGGGCCAGTCTTGGTTGACCGGGCGAACCCATCAAGACTTAAATATTTTAAAACGGCATATCACAATGAAACAAATACATGGGAAAACATAAAAATATGAGGTCTGTAGCCATATGAAGCACAAAGTAGCACGACACGGGGAGTATTTGTTTTATAATTATGCCATTTTATACATCATGAGAATCCATGAGGTCCATGAGGGCGTGGCTCAGAAGGAACAAAAAGCAGTCTGCAGATCAAGTCTTCATCATATTATTATTATTATTATTTTAATTAATCATTAGTAATTTTAATGTGTGAAATCAAAAATAGTTTGTAACTTTCAGCAGGTATATTGGATACTAAAGTTTCATAATTCATAGTTTTTGGACACTCACTTATATTGGATAAAGATCAAATGGGACACTCACTTATATTGAATTATGAAACTTTAGTGTCAAATATGAGATACATATGAAACCATAGTGTCTAATTTGGTCCATTTGAAACCTTAATGTCCAATATGAGATTCTGATGAAACCATAGTGTCTAATTTGAGCCTTATCCCTATATAAAAATGATAAAAACTGACATGTCAATTTGGTACTGTATAATATACTCCCTAAGAGAATCTTCAAATGCAGGAATGTGCATGGTATGCATGAAAATAAATCCCTAATTCATGAAAAATAATTCCAATAAACGGTGTGAAAGAGACGACAAAAATGCCTGTGCCTTAAAGATATTGTCAACGGTAATATTTGATATTGTGATGTGACCATGTGGGGAAAAAAACAAACTATTGCCAGAATAAGACTAACTACTCAAGATCTACTAATAAGACCTCATCTCCTTTTTTTGGGAAAAAAAATTATAAGTGTATGCATAATACGAATAGTCTGTTTCTTCCATATTATCAGAGCAGTAGAGCAAGATGGAGACTCCATGCACATTTCATTCATAGATCTCTCTTCTCCGGAGACAAGATGAATTTTATTTTCCTGATAAGTTATTAGTCAATATAATCATCAGGGAAAATATCAGATTGGGCTTTGGGAAATCAAATGCATCTCAAATCAGCAACAATAAAAAAGTAGAAATCATATACTGAAATATGAAGATACAATGATCTACGTATAACAAGTTTACTACTACCCGTCCCAATGTACTTAGCCAAACTTGACTTTTCAAGTCAACGGCCTCTAACTTTGACCAAATATTTAAGCTAATATATTTATGCAAAATTTAATAATTTTATACTTTTATGATAGTGTTTTTAACAAAGAACATTTTCATATCATTTTCATATTATCAATACTTTCTCTATATAAACATATAATCGATCAAAGTTAGACGTCGTTGATTTGAAAAGTCAAGTTTGGCTAAGTAAATAGGGACGGAGGGAGTAGTACTTGTATTGAACATGTTACTAGTTCGAATAAATAATCTAATCTAGAATTGCACAAATTTAAAAACAAGACGTTTATGTTTTTAATCTAACATTCTAAAATATATAACTGTATAAACAAATTTGAATATATTAATAGCCAGCAAAATCGAGATTTGAAGTACACAAATCAATTCGGAAGGAAATGTGTCATTTACCCATTTATCGGGAGGCATTAACTTATAATTAGTGTCAATCGTAGTATATGACATTAACTTACAATTCCTATTTAGAAACATGATTAAAGTTTCTAAATAGGAATCCATGTTTTTGTATCCTCTAAATAGGCCTAAACATTAGATTTATATCCTTAAAATAATCAATTTCCCCCTAGTTCACCCATCATAGCCAAGGTAGTCCGACGGCGGCGGACGGGTGTGGCCACTGGTATGGTGCCCGGCGGCGGCCCGATGTGGCCACTGATCTAGCAATTAGCGGTGCCAACCCAGTGACCAAACTCGACCCACTATAAGAGTGTTTTTATCCAATCACAAATAATTACTTATATTTTAGGAATTAAAAAAATACTCGTAAGTCTTACTTTGACACTATTTTACTCCTATGTGATAATATTCAACACAAGAAAGAAAGAAAGTGTCACATAGTAGCACACAAAAAGTACTAAACATTGTGTGGAGTTTAATACACCAAACTCACTCGTGAAATATAAATTCGATACATTAACTCCCTCTGATTTAAGAAAAGCGACAAACCCCCTTGTGTTATAGGAGTGGTTATTAACGCGCAAAAACTCCTTTAATGAACAAATTTATATTAATTTCCAAATAAATGAAAATAATTAATATTTTTGTATAATTTAGAAATCTTGACAAAGTTACTTGCATATTCAATCATATTATTTTCTTAAGAAAAATATTTTAAAATTGTAAAATATGTTCTTAGAGTGGGTTTTGTGCATCCGTAATGATAACACGGAGGAGTTTGACGCACTATTTAAATCATATGGGCTAATTCGCCAAATTCTAGTACAAGTTGAGAAGTTAGTAATTTTAAATTACTTTAGTGATTCTTAAATTATGTATTTTTATAACTCTAATTTGTGACATTTAAGACTTATAACCAGTAATAATTAAAAATTACTAACTAATAATCACAATTTATTAGTTATAAATTGTGAAGACTGATTTATTATTTTTATTGTTAGGACAATTACTACAACAACTACTATTAAAATTATTATTTTTAATTATTTATTTATTTACTTATTTATTTAATAAAAAAACGGTTCCAAATCAAAACCATCTGATTCTGCTGAACCGTAACCGGTAGTTTTCGTTCCAAAATTTCAAAGGACCGATTTGGACTAGTGAACTTCTCGATCTAAACCTCATGGTATATTGGTTAAAAAACGGGCCATTCTGATTCTAATTCCGATTGAACCTTAAACCGCGAACACGTTAGATAGAAGAGAGTTAAAAGAGAGAAAAAATATCTGATGCTAAAATAAATTAAAAATTTAATTTATTTTTACTTGTTTGTTTTAACAGATAATACACTGATGAAAAGAAAATGATGTTCTATTTCTAGTCTTTTCTTGGAGTTGAACGGGAAACACTCCAGCCGTATAGCTGATGGCATGTTTGTAATTTTGGTAAAAAACACGGTTTTTCTTGAATGAGCATCAACGCAATTTCGTTGATCATCAGGCCTGTTCTTTTGAGTATTTGGAGTCAAAAAATGAGCATCAATGTTCTCTGCTTCATATCTTTGAATTCGCTTTCTTTTTATGATTCTTTTCGTATATAAAAAACTCTTAAATTATGTTTATATCATTTCCAATTAATTTTAATATGTGAATCTAATATAGTATGATATGTTTGAAATTTGCAATATTATAAAATTTGCAATACGTAACTTACAAAATGAGTATCAAAAATTCAAAAGCTCATTTATGTATGTTCATTCATTTTGGACTTATACTCACTTGAGTAAAACATAATGTAGTATGATACATTTGAAATGTGTGACATTTTCAAATGAGCGTAAAGCAATACCAAATGAGCATACTTAAACACAAAATGAGTGTATGCTCATTCATTTTGGGTTTTATACTTATTTCAGTTTAACATAAAACTCATTTTCAATGTATTCAATATTAATTTGTGTGAGTTCATTTCTTTTAGGCGTATACTCATTTCTTTTAGACCCATTTAAAATCTCTACCATACTCAAAATTTTATTTATGTATGCTCATATCTTTAAAACCACGTACAACTTAGGTTTCCCCTAACCCAAAAGCTACCAAACTCAAAAATAAGTGTAAGAGAAATAGAAAGAGGAAAGGAAAGAGGGAACAGAGCGCGCAAAACCTATCTTCGCTGCATCTACTCCATCCATAGCCTCCAGAGCGAAGCAATCTTCACTGCATCTGCGCAACCCATCCATAGCCTCCATCGTCGTGCGCAGATTAGGGATGGACTCGGTTCAGGCCACCCGGCCCGTGACCCAGCCCGGCCCACTACTGTGCGGGCCCTGGACCGGCCCGGACTGGCGGTCCGGGACCGAGTGTGAACCCGAACCAGTGGGGGAAGCGAGGGCGGGCTCGGTTCATGCAAAATGTGACCCAGCCCGGCCGGGTCAAGCCCGGGTCCGGGTCACAACGGCTATATTTAAAAAAAAAATCTTTTGGGCCAAAGATGACCGTTGGGGTGGGCTGGGGACAACCCAAACTCTATTGTACAAAAAATTCTATAAATACTCTTATTTTCTAACATTTTTATACACATCTTCTCCAACATCCAATCTCTAATCTCCATTCTCCATCTTCATCTCCATCTATTGTAGAATTATTATATCTACCATTTTTAAGATGGAAAGTCAATATACCGTTATACGGTATAATTTTGATAAGCAGGACCCGAGGATCGGGATGTGATACGCAACTTGCAAATGATGCGGGAAAAAGTGTAGTATGGGAGTTCCAGGCAGATACGGGATGTCAATGAAGCATATTAGGTCATGTGACAAAACCAAAGGATCGGGAGGTGCGGGAAGTTCCGATTGATTACAATTTACAAAATGTATTTCATATTATATGTTTCTCTTAATTTTTAAATGTAGTTCCTATTTCATTTCAAATAAATGCACTTGAAGTTTGTTTTTAATACTTGTATAAAACTATAAAGTATAAATTATAAAAAAAATTGGTTTTAACCGGCCCGGTCTGGCGGGTGACCCGACCCGTGACCCGGGCGGGTGGCCCGGCCTGAACCGGACCCGTCCAAACCTCGGGCCGGTCCCGGGGCCATGAGTTACAAACCGGCGGTCTGACCGGGCCTAGGCCCGGCCCGAGTCCATGCCTAGCGCAGATCCAAGAGACGAGCGAAGGTCATCGGCAAGGAAGAGACGAGATTCAAGGTGAAGGCGGAGATCCGAGGGACAACGCGCAGTACACAACGAACAAAAAGCCCGAACTGTGCGCACGGTACAGTCAGCAGCAAGATTTATTTTACCCTTGTAGCCCCTTTTCCTACCGGTAGGAGAGAGTCAATTTCTTCGACACTTTGGTTATAGGAAAAATAAAATCGATTCAACTAAAGTTATTTTTTGTAGACCCACTATGAATTAGCATTTTGTGCCTTATGATTTTTGCCTACAAACTCCTGAAGTTGGAACAAATGTGCCTACATTTGTGGATGGATAAACAATGACCCGCATGCTTTATATATTTAAAGGCATCATACAATGATGACCACCCACAAGAAAAAAGGGTCGTTCCTTGCGGAGAACGACGATAAGCATCGGGTAATCGAAGGGGCTGGGATTGTGCAGGTTGATGCAATAACAAGTGTGTTCGCTTCTGGGTGAAACTTCAAAGGTATTTGCTTCATAATAAGATCATAATAGCAATAGTGTGAAGTTAGTATCATTATCAAAAGATAAAAACTCTTTCTTTTTGGACATGTTTTCGCCAGAACGATTTATTGTAAGCCAAAGCTTCAGCATGTGGACTCAAATCTTTTTTTCCTCTAGAGCACAAAAAACAATTACAGTATAAGAGGAAGGAATCAATGACTATTGCCAATTTAGTCAACTGGAGCTGCAAAATATTCTAAGTCATTACGAAACAACCCCATCAAAACCATGCATGAAACATATATACATTACTGTAGAGGAAAAACACAACTAATTCCTAGAAAAACTACCTGATCTATTTCACCCTTGAGTTTTTACCTATTAAAAAATGATAGAAATTAGTTTACGGTGCTTAGTAAAATATAATACGAAGTGGTTGTAATTACAAAATTTGAAAAATATATACCTTGATATCTTGCAGTTTTTTTATCTCTTTTTTTTATTTGATTTCCCTCTAGAACTGCTTTTTCCATCGGCCTCGAACCGTTCCAGCTTAATGATCTCAATTTCCCTTTGTACGTCTCCAACTGGAGCAAGCAACCTATTTTCTGCTCCAACTTTTATGTTGTAACATAGCATTTTTAAATTCAAACTCTCTTACTCCTGGTATGCTCCACTCTTTACTATTTTGAATAAGAATCTCTGATATTTTGTTTCATTTATCGACCAAAGTATCCATCCAAAGCTTATCACGGTCACTTAGAACCCATGTCTTTAAATACCTCCGAAACACCCCCACTTTCCTCTTAATTGTGCATAATATGTCCTCTAATTGAATTTGATCTGGTTGCTTTGCAAAAACCATGATGATTATGATGAGACTGGCTACTATCTTTTTTCGATGCATACTTCAATCTACATTCGTTTTTAGTTTTGATTAAAAAAACTATCGCGTTGATAACATCATTCTCTGCTTTTGGAACCTCATCCAATGAAGCAATTTTGAATGCACTTAGTAAACTTTCATGAGAAACCGTTATTGGTAGTGCAGTGAGTCACCTGTGTCAACTTGGCTTTCTCCTAGGCTAAACCAATCCCCAACACTATTCTTAATACCGATCAAGTACCAGTCGTAGTATTAAAACTTACCCACACAATTGTATTATCTTGCATTTTGTTAACAAGAAAAGTTCACATGTATGTATTTGCATTTTTTTCATTTGCAGGAGGTTTAGAAAGTACATTTATATTGACAATTCTCCTTCCAACCCCTAAGGTATCTCGCCAACCAGTTACAAAAGCATCATAACCTTCTGTAGCACGGGTGGTATCAAAAGTAGACTCTTGTTTAAAAGAATTTTTTATCATTGAGATTCTGCAAATAATCTCATTCCAATTACCTTTTCGTGATTGGATCATAAACTAAATCAGTGCTGAATTGCGTAATAATAAGAAAAAGTAAAGTTGAAGTTACTTTTCTGGCTGTATTGGCTGAAGTTACTGTAAAGTATCATTTGAGCTCCTTTTTCTTATATTTTTTTATTTTATTTATTAAGAACAAGTATTTTAAATATAATTTTTTCATAAATCAGTAGAATCAGATGGTTAAAATATTCACTACAAAGCATTTTCCTATAACATGAAAACAGAGACAGAGTTACTCAACATTAGTTTACTAATAAAACGTGCATCAGATGGTTAAAATATTCACTACAAAGTACAAACCTAGTATTTTGCCTACACTGTTATTAGTTTTCTTGTCAAAGCCTGGAGTACAAGTTGTATAGTTTTTATAAATAAAAACAAATTTATTCAATTTGAAGCATGTTTAATCAGCATTCTTTTTTTTACATTATATTGTCTGACATGTTACATCTGTTGACCAAGAAAATGGATCATAAACAAGAGGTATATTGATTAGTAATTTAGTACGTGCCTGCCTATATGTGTGTGTTTGTTCATATATAATTTTGAATTGTTCCACACTTTCAAGAAATAAGGAAAGTGTTCCTTCCAACTTTCAGGATTTTATTCTAATTTATTATGCTCTTAGGAAAATCATTCATTCATGCAGTTTTTAATTGGTATGAAACTTTGTGTAGTAATATTTGTTAGACTTTTGTAATTTATTAGAAAGTATACCAAACCCTCTCCCACTCTCCTCAGCCCCAAAATGTCATGTTTGACCTTTTTTATGACTTTGGGACCCGAATTTTGAAATTTTTTTTTGTTGGACCTAAAGGCAAAGGACTCAACTGAATCGTACGGTTTTCCACTATATATACGTGTATTTCAAAGTGTTGCCCACACATATAAAATGTATTCACAATAAGGTAATTGGTGAAAGTTTAATGTTGTTAGTGCACTGATTTAGTTTAAATTGAAATGAGATTATTCGCAGAATCTCAATAATCCAAATTCTTTTGAGCAAGAGTCTACTTTTGATGTTTCCCGTGCTACAGAAGGTTGTGGTGCTTTTGTAACTGATTGGCGAGATATCTTAGAGGTTGGAAGGAGAATTGTCAATATAAATGTACTCCTTAACCCTCTTGCAAATGAAAAAAAAAATGAAAATAAATACATGTGAACTTTTCTTGTGAACAGAATACAAGAGAATACAATTGTATGGGTAAGTTTATCACGACATCTACTTGATTGGTATTAGAAATAGTGCTAGGGATTGGTTTAACCTAGGAGAGAGCCAAATTGACATAGGTGATTCTAGTGCACTGCCAATAACGATTTCTCACAGGAGTTTACTAAGTGCATCCAATATTGCTTCACTGGATGAGATTACAAAAGCAAAGAATGATGTTATCAACTTGATAGTTTTTTTATCAATGCTAAAAACGAATGTAGATTTAAGTATGCATCGAAAAAAGATAGCAGCCAGTCTCATCATAATCATAATGATTTTTTGCGAAGCAACGAGATCAAATTCGATTAGAGAGCACATTATACACAATTGGAGGAAAGTGGGGGTGTTTCTGAGGTATTAACATGGTTCTAACAGACCGTGATAAGTTTTGGATGGATACTGTGGTCGATAAATGGAACAAAATGTCGGATTATTATTCAAAATAGCAAAGAGGGAAGCATATCAGGAGTAAGAGATAGTTTGAATTTAAAAGTGCGAATTACAACATAAAAGTTGGAGCAGAAAATATGTTGTTTGCTACAATTGGAGACGTACAAGAGTATGTTGGGATCATTAAGCAGGAACGGTCTGAGACCGATGACGAAAGAAGTTCTAGGGGGAAATCAAATCCAAAAAAGGAAGGAGGTCAAAAAACGACAAGATATCGAGGTATATATTTTTGTAATTACAACTAATTCGTATTATATTTTACTAAGCATCATAAATTAATTTATATAATTTTTTATAACAGGTGAAAGCTCAAGGTTGAAATAGATCAGGTAATTTTGTTGGAATTAGTTTTATGTTTTTACTACTCTATAAATATGTATATATGTTTCATGCATGGTTTTGATGGGGTTGTTTCGTAATTGCTTAGAGTATTATGCAGCTCCAGGTAAATAAATTGGCAATAGCAATTGATTCCTTCCTCTTATACTGTAATTGTTGTTCTTTGTGCTTCTAGAGGAAAAGAAGATTCGAGTCCACAGGCTAAAGCTTTGTACAAGTGTTTTCCTTAAAGCTCTGAAGGGAGAAAAGAAAGATATATGAAAATGGGGATGATTTGCTTACAATTGGAGATGAACCAACATCATATGGCTTGCTTCAAGATTCTCCTGCTACTATACTGGTCAATGTAAAAAAATTGTTGGATTTATTCATAAGGCAACCATCATTGTTGGCCTTACACGCAATTGGAGAATGAAAAGAGTTTTGTTTGTTTGTTAGTAAATGTGCTGAACCAAATCTCAGGATATTGTAAAACACTCGAGGTTTGATATGTGTACGGATCTATCTAGCTTTAGTATGTACAGTAAACTATACGTTGGGATTTTTGGAAGAAGCTGAAACAATCCCAATTAACGAAAAAAGCAATTAACCATCGTTCTAGCGAAAACATCTCCAAAAGGAAAGAGTTTTTATCATTTGATTTGATAATGATACTCACTACACAGTATTGCTATTATGATTTTATTATGAAGCAAATACCTTTGAAGCGAACACACTTGTTATTGCATCCGCCTCCACAATCCTAGTCCCTTCGATTACCCTCTGTTTATCGCCGCTCCGTGCATGGAACACCCTTTTCTCTTGCGGGTGGTCATCATTTTATGATGCATTGATGCCTTTAAATAAATAAAATAAATAAACAGGACGGTCATTGTTTATCCATCCACACACGTGGACAAATATAGGCACATTTGTTTCTCATAAGTTTACACCTGTCAATCATAATCCTGTAAAGTATGGGTCCGGCCAACAATTTTTTCTTCACTATTTTTAAATTACATTTATATTAAAAATATAAATATATGTGGAAAGGAGCTAGTTGGTTATATTCCAAAGTATAGTGGCCGTATGGGTTCATTTTTGGATTTGTCTCTTTATTGGCCCACTAATGAATATCACGTGGGTACTAGCTTGTTTGGCTCCTTTTTGGAGAAATTGAAGGGCAGGAGTTTTGTTTTCTTTGGTTGGTTTGTAACTGCCATATTACTCAAAAAGATGTCAAAGCAACAGGGGTAATCACCCGGGAGAAGCACACAGAAGGCAGTGATCCTCTTCTCTAGTGAGTGAGACCATTTCAGAGATAACAACAAGCTGCCTATTTTGGAGTTGATGTCCTTTTTGACAGATTTCGGACTCTTGTTGATTACAGATAGTTCTTTGTTGTTAATTGATATGGTATTTCATAGAAATATAATGTGCCAAAATAATGAAGCCATGATTGCGTATAATTTACCTTTACAAATAGATCTGTATACTCCACCGAATCTTCAAAGTAGTTATCAGCTAGCACATTCTTCAAATCCTGGTCATCAAAAAGAAAAAATATTTTTAACTCAAACAGTTCAGAGACGAAACTTCTAGGTAACCAAAATGAAATATTTTGAGAGGGGTAGTGGAGTTCTAAAGCATCAAATGTTTGCTTCGGCATTTCAAAATTGTCACAAAACATGTACTAGAACAGTACCTCCACATTAAGTCAACATCACCAAATGCCTCGTTACTATTTTTTAGAGAAATTAACATTGGAACCAGCATAGATACGTCACTATCACTCCAGTATCCGAATAAAATAATATAGATATTCAACATTCTCTTCCATTAAGTCAACATCACCAAATGCCTCGTTTCTATTTTTTAGAGAAATTAACATTGGAACCAGCATAGATACGTCACTATCACTCCAGTATCCGAATAAAATACTCAAGGCTCCCCTAAAAAACGAAAACATAAAGTACATATCAGTAATGAAACTAATGATGATAATTGTCTTAATGGAGAAAACGTTGCTGCAACACCAATGTGCAATTCAGAATTGAGAAAGAAGACCAATTAATGTATGTATATAAATGTTCTCACATGTGTTTCAAAAGCAAAGACATGCCAAGGCTAGAGGGTCTATACATCCATTTCATGTAATACACTAAAACAGTGGGCTAGAGCATAAAAACAATTTTGTCAGATCTTCTGTCATTTGCATATCCACTACTCTCTCATGTCCAGTAAACAAGAGTCATGGTTCAAGAACTTTTTGTCTCCAAAGAAGAATCAACTTTAACCAAACAAATACTCCATACATTTTTTCTTGTAATTCGCCAAAAATGTGAAAAAAGGCGCACACAATAGGTTAAGGATACTTGATCCAACAAATAGATTTGAAAGAAATAAACATGGTTCATGATTTATGAGAGTTGTACACTTGTATGACACGAAAAGTACAATAAACACATTGGTCAAACGTGATTTTTTGGGGACTGATCTAATACAAGTTTGGTCAACAAACCGACATATGAAACTTGAAACATAACCTAACAAACTATCAATTACCAATCACATTTCATCCTATCTTAGAGAGAGCATCAATAAATCCACAACATGATAAATCATGCATTTCTTGGCGGGCAGGGGTGGCATATACAAACCTTATCTTAATAACATTATCGCTCTCAAGAATCAATCCCAGATTCCCAGCAAGGGATCTTTTTGTATACGAGTCATTCGTTCCTGACATCGTAAAAGATGTGCTCCCTTTATATACTCCCTCAGTCTCCCAATTAACTTCCCGGTTTGACTTCACACATATTAAGAAAATAAATTTGACTTTACTGTGGAGTGCACTATTTTGCACTGTTCCAACACTGTTTGACACTGTTTTGCACTGTTTGACACTGTTTTGATGTAGATAATTTGCCAAATAAGGAAAGTAAGAAAGTGTGAACTTAATTTAGGGACTGCCCAAAAAGAAAAGTGGTAACTTAATTGCGGAACGGAGGGAGTACTTGTTAAGAGTGTTGAATAGTGCAGTGGACTGTTAAATGAAGGGTTAGTTAAGGATGCTAATCAATTATAGAGTGGTTTTTTAGCAGAAATAAACATGAAGAAACCAGAAATACCTCTTTCAATTCCTTAATTAGGTGCAGGATGATGACAGGAGCAAACCAAAATCCTAGTGCTGCAGATCTATGCCTTTCAAGATAGTGGAGATATGGGGGGAGTCTTAACGGAACAGCATCCTTCAGAGATTCCAGGAGTTCTTCCGCCAGGAGAACTGCTTCTGGAAACTTTATTAATTGGTCAGCCAGTTTCTTGATCGAAGCATCCAGCATGGGTTAACTTAAAAGCTTAACCAAACAAACTAAAACAAAATAAATTCTTCCATACTTATAATAATGCACAAGGTGAAACTGACAGGTCAATTTGGCAGCAATTTGGTATACTATACTAAGAGAATCTTCAAATACAGGAATGTGCATGGTATGCATGCAAAATTGCAAACAAAGCCCAAAAATCATGAAAAATATTTCCAATAAATGATTTGAAAGAGACAATAAAAATGCCTATGCCTTACAGATATTGTGAAAGGTAATATTTGATGTGGGAAAAAACACACAACAAATGCCAAAATAAGACTGCATAGGAAGTGTTAACACAGAAAGTGTACTATGTCTAACTACTCAACATCTTCCATATTATCATAGCCAAAATCGTGGGTGGCTATACATACTTGAGAAAGGTCAGCAATGATAGTGCAAGATGGAGACTCCATGCAAATTTTATTCACAGGTCTCTCTTCTCCAGGGACAAGATCATGTTCCTTTTCCTAAAAAGTTATTATTAAATACAATCATCAGGGAAAATATCAGACTGGGCTTCGGGAAATAAAATGCATCTCAAATCAGAAACAATCAACAGTAGAAATCACGGATATACTTAAGAACGAAGAGACAATGATCAACGTATAATATCAAGGATATTGAGAAAGTGAGAGAAAAGAAATTCTAAAGGAATTGGCACTGATCAGCATAAATGATACTTGAGAGTTGAGATGATTACCTTTACATTACTAATACAAGCCTCTCCTGAGCCAAATCTCTTCACTCCAAAAGCACGAGCTCCCATTGCATAAACCAATGGAAGAATCGCTTCTTCATTCGCCCAGTAGCCTATTAAAATACTCGAGGCACTCCTTGAATAATAGGAAAGATAGAAAGTAGATGGTAAAAATATTGGAAATTTAGAATGACCGCATAATTTATAGAAACAGTCCCAGAAACTATTATTAGTATTATTATATTTTATTATATTATTATAATTATTATTATTAGTATTATTAATACTATTATTATTATTAGCGCATTATGGAGTAGAAAGAACCTCATCATAGCAGCAGGTTCCATATGTTGAAAAATATCATCAAATGAGGGATCATCCCTGATTCTAAATACAAGGAACTCAGTCAACTTCCGGGCAGCTACACGCTTATATCTCAACATCGAGCACGGGGTAGTCCTATCCTGTTGTACAAGAAATAGTGAATATGGTTGGACAAGAAATCCAACTTAAGTTGTACCCCATCTGAAATACTCCCTCCGTTCCTATTAAAACTTCCAACTTTACTTTTTCGTCCGTTCCAATTAAAACTTCCACTTTCCCTTTTTAGTAAAGAATTTGTGGTTCACAACATTTCTTACACATTTCTCTCTCCCCTGCACAACTCTCCACCACACAATACCACTATCTTAAATTGTGTGCCAAACCTATTTGGAAGATAAAATAGGAACGGAGGGAGAAGTATTTTTTGTAGTCATTTCAAATAGTTGATTAGTGTACAAAATATATCTCCATGCATTTTACAGTTTGACGATATAAATTTCTTACTTATTTCTTACACTTAATTGTATATTCATTGGTCTAATTTAGTTGAGAACGTGGTATACATGTATTCATCCTCCATAAGGATGTATTCATCTCATATTCTCATGTCAAAATTTAAGCTGTAAACTGCTTCTTTACATATATAGGAGTAATAAGACATTTTCAAATGCATACCTCTTCATACGCGAGAAGCTTTGATTCCAGGAAGGCTGGAACACTCGCAAGCGAGTGAGCACCTGGTGGGCAGATTGAACTTCTGCTCGTGATGGACATTTCATGGCGAGAGGCTGTTAACCGTTCGCAGTATCAACCATACAATTGTCTAGCTGATCGGTTCACCACTCATAAGCATCCATCTCCTCTAGAAAGAATGAATCAAGGTCATTAGGCTTTGAGTTCTTCCCTCGGTGAACTCAAGCTCCTAAATCCAGTTCAGAAAATGCAACAACAGAAATAGGGACTTCTGGCTTAGAGTTCTTCGGCGGACATGGACAGTTCATCTAACGTTGATGGTGAGGGCCCTGGGAGAAATAGAAGAGCAATTTCATGGCATCATTGAGCCAAATAAATTCATTTGCGCTGAAAATTGTTAGGTGTTATATACACTATTCAAAGAATATGATACTTTCAGAAAATAAAAGTCTGTAGTATCATAATATGTAAGAGAATTCCTTACAAAGTTTTCAAGTATATCTAGCTCAGTATAATGTTTACTCACCTTTATCATTCTGCTGCAACTTAATGACATCCATCTTCATGATAGAAATATAACATTCATCAAAGAAACATAAAATAAAATAAAAGGAAAGGAAAGAACAACCTCAATCTTTATTTTCAGAACATAAATAAAAATCACAGCTTTTATGATACATCACACCAGGATGTTGAAATATAATATTCTTGTTGCTGCAGATCCAACGCTTATTGGTGCGCACAGAAAAGCCTTTACACGGAATAAAAAAATTCACTGTCAAATTAAGAGGTATAGCCAAATGTAAAACTCCTGACCTGCAGAATTTTAGATTCACTTGTACGCTGATTCCAGAAACCCCAAACAAAGTGAAACGGTATCCGTCTACTTCTTTGTGAAGTCCGCAAGCCGCAGAGACGCCACCAGTCCGCCAGTCGCCTTGTTGGCCATCCCTTGCTGTCCACCGCCACTGTGTCGCATCGTGCCATCTGCCGCCTGCGTCAGCCTGGCGGCCCGGCTACTCTCCCTGACGGCCCAGCTGAACTGTTGATAGCGGCGGCGCCCACAGTCCGACACTCCCGCTCGCCTGCTGCACAGCTTCTGATCCCTTCCTTTGCCACTCGGCAATCTTATGTCCCGCTCTCAAGACCCATGAGAGAGGAGTTTACGGGTATAGAGCTGAACTTAAATCACGATCTTCCCTTTCTTCACTTTTCAGATGACAAAGATAGCAGATGTGAAATGACATACGGAGTAATTTTTTTTTTCAAATTCCAAAGCACCACTGCACCACACTATCCTAGACTGATTACCTTGACCAGGTTAGACCCATTTTATCCAATTTTTTTTTAATCTCATTTTGATATCCGAATGCTTTTACATTTTAGAGCCTATTTGATGGCACCGAAATCGGCTGATTTGGCTGATTCTGCTGAAATTTGTGAAGTTCTGGCTGAAGTGGTCAAGTGACTGCATTGCCTGATTCTGCTGATTTAAGAAAAAAATAATTATAAAATATATTTTATTAATAAAATAAAGAAAAAATTATATGTAAAAATAGCTAAAATGGTCATCTACAGTAACTTCAGCCAATACAGTCAGAAAAGTAACTTCAATCTTACTTTGTCTGCTTATTACAAAATTCAGCGCCGAAAGAAAAAGCTACGTGTTTGGTGAAAAAGTTGATTGATAAGCCTCATAAGCCGAAAAAAGTATTGCCAAGCGGCCTCTTAATGTTTGGGTCCGTTTGTATATAGTAGGATTCTATTAGTTCCATCTTTCCTATTAGTTCCATCTTTCCTGCAAGCTTGAAAGTTAATGTTTTTTATTATGGTTGTTGTTGCCTTGTTGGTGTTATGGTTATTAATATTAGTCCTATTGTTGTTGTAGTTGTTCCATCATTTCCGATAGGGTGGACATATCGATTTTAGGTTGGGTTTTATCGGTTTCGGTTCAGTTCAGTTCGGAACATATTGAAAGAATCTATACAATATACAAAGCTAAGTGGAAATGCAAGCAAATTTCCCGCCTAAAGTCACGGGTCATATATGGGTCGGGTACTTTGCAAGCTGGTTTAGTTATGTGTTGGCCGTCTGTAGCAATTAATGCCGACTTTTTTATTGATGTGACTTCAAACAAAAGGTGAGATTGTCTCATTAAATTCAAAGATCTTTAATATGGAGTTTTAACTGGGCGAAATCTTTTATTCATCAATTCTGATGTGCACAGTCTGAAATCTTGGTAGGTTGTTTATTTCAGTCAATTCACATTAGATGGATAAGTGTACTCGGGGGGGGGGGGGGTATCTATCCGAGGGGTTACTGCGGGGAGTATCTAGAGAGAAGTCAAAGCAGAAGTAAGAGAGAGAATATATATTGCTGAGAATGTGTTGAGCGTATTGAGCATGGATTACAAATGGGGAAAAGGGGTGCTATTTATAGTAGTAATAAATGCCAGATAGGGACACGTGTCATCATTCTGGTGGTCAAGGAGTCACCTCAACGGGGTGGCACTGGCACTCGCATGTGGCCGCATTAAATACGTTGGTTGGATGTGACGTTTGTACTCGGTACGTTGATCCGGTGCATGTGGGTGGGAGATTCTGTCGAGGAGATGCCTTCGGCCGTAGATGATCGGCCGAAGGCTCTTCATACCGGGGGCCTCTGTGTGCCGAGGGATCTAGGTACCGAGGGCTACTCTTTTACGCCGTTTTCTCCCAGTACCTTCGTTTGCCTAAAACAGCTGTTCTGCGAGTTTATAAGCCTTCGGTCATGGGGGCGAAGGCACCCACGCGTTCGTCGCGGGATGTTTGGCACTTGGGGCGCTGTGATTTGGGCTTGTTGTGCTTCCTGGGCCTATTGGGCCTTCGCTATAGTAGTGGGAGTCTATGGATCGGGGGTTCCTGGGCCATATACTCCATCAGGAGTCCCTCACTCCTTTTGCCGAAAGGTACTTGAGGGAAAAGGAGTAAAATGCGTTTGTTCTCTGATGCTGCCTTGTTGTAGTTTGTAAACCTGTGTGAGGTTTTGCGTTTGCACACGATTCTGGCGAGGGCAGCCCTTCATTCCCCCATATTTTGGGACTGAAGGGTGTTGATGCTTTGTGAGAATAATTTTTTAGCATTTTGATTTTCCTGGTTCCCGGAGGGGTTCTCCAGTCCCCCACACCTTGAGGCACATGTAATGTGGTGAAGAGGAGTAGAGTAGTGCCCGCTGTTATCATGTTGCCGAAGGCCGACGCTTTTCGTTTCATTTTGGGGGGATGTCTCGTTAAAACCCTCATTACAAAAAACTCTGTGGGAAAAAATTCCAATGAGGGAAAAAGAGTGCACCGAATTCCCCTAACGATGAATCGAAAAATTGAAACCTTGGTTCGAAATGGATGACAGTATTGACGTCGAGGGCTATCTTTGTCTGATGGCGTGATGAATGTAAGTGGTAGTTGCTGTGTTGTCGGGGGGATTCTCTAGCTGTTGATAAGCTGGGGATGAGGGCACCCGAGGGGTCCCGTTGTTGTATGTCGAAGGCAGTCCACCTAAGAGGGGTTTTAAATTTGATGTCCCCGAGGGGTCTCCTTATTGCGTGGTCGGGGGGACAGTTGATGAAGGTGTGCTCCCCCGAGTTTTCCTGGCCCTCAATGCATTGAGGGCTGAGGGTTCCCGAGGGGCTTACCCGTTGTTAAGCCGTGGGCTCGTGAAGGAAAAAGCCCAAAGGCACTTGTGATGTTGTATGAGGGGTACCGACCGAGAGCACCCCTGTGTTTTCGAAATATAGCCGTTTGCAATAGGACCGTTGGAATATGGAACGTGTAAAATGTAGCCGTTAGAGAGGACTTCCACGTGGCTCGTGGTTGTTGGCTAGCCGTTTGCAATAGGACCGATTGGCAGAAGGGGGCGGCGTGTAATGATGACTTTCGTAACCGGAGGCCCGGTTTTGGACCTAAGCCCGATTTTGGGTGCCTATAAATACCCCAAGGCTTGAGCCTTTCCCCTTATGCGATTCATTGTTAGCGAAGCTCTGCCGGATTTTTTCTAGAGAGAGAAACAACCCTTCGATTAGAGCCTTAATTCCCAAGGTCAGTTGCTCCTCCCGTTCTCGAGTTCCTTAGCGTATTTTCGCCCTTAGGCTAAGTGCTAGAGTTGTTTAGGGAGCCTTCGATTTCTAGAACCCCTCATCCCCTAGTTCTCGAGGATGTCTTCGCAAAGTGATTCTCAAAACATATTGAGGGAGCCCTCGGCAGAGGAGGAGAGTATCTCAGACGTGGAGTCCGCGAGTGAGCAGCCTTCGGTGGGTGGTGATTCTGCCGTTGCCATGGAGTTACAGAAGGAGCTCGTTGCTGAGGTCGAGGCTGAGGACTTTGAACAAGTAAATGAAGACGAGGACCTGGCCCTCGCCGTTCAAACTGCTGAGGAAGCGGAGGAGAAAGAGAGGCAGGAGGTTACCGTCGATGTCCTCCCTGCACGCAATGTTGGTGAAGCCAGCACCTCCCGGCCCTTGAACCCGACACCTCTCAGGGTAGCCCCCGGGAAGAAGAAGACGAAGAAGGCGGGAGCTCCCAAGAAGAAAGGTGCTGCCGACCAAGGCAAACCGGTTGGGATTCCCGAGGGGTATTCGTGGTTGAATACTGCTGCCTTGGCGGTGAATTCCAGAGCCGACCCGGCCGAGTGCTATGTCACACAACTGCACGTAGGGCCTTCGGTGACGGTGGTACAACCGGGGCCTGACGACGTGCTGTATCGGGCGCCTGGGGGGTGCTTTGATGTGCATATCCTCTCCGTCTCGATGGGCCTTCGGTTCCCATTGCATCCCTTCCTCTTAGAGTACCTTAGGTACGTTGGCCTGGCCCCCTGCCAACTTACTCCGAATAGCCACTCCTATATTGCCGGGTTTCTGAATCTCTGTAAGTCCTGGGGGCACTCCCAGCCTGGAGTTATTTTTTCAAAGCTTCAATCTCTGTCGGGGGGCATGCGAATTCCGAGGGGTTCGCGAACCTGCAACAACTCGCCCCGTGGAGGCTCTTCGATGACGTGCCCTCGTCTCACCAGGGCTGGAAAGACCGCTTTTGCTACATCAGGATGGCGGAGAACCCATTCCCGAGGGAGCTGAGGAATTACTTCCGGAGGCACATAAAGCCGGAGGGTTGCGCGGCTCTTGAGAAAGAGGGGAAAAAGATATCTGTTGTCCCAGCGGGGCGGGATAAACATGTGACGGTCAAGGAGGACTGTTTGAAGGAGGTCTAGGAGGGTCACGAGGGTCCCATCGTCAGCGCCGTTAACTTTATCTGCCTCCGTCCTCCAACGTTCCAAGAAGTCCCGAAGGGTCTCCTCCTTTCTTTGTCTCACCGTCACCAAGTGGGAGAAGTGTTTTCTTGACCGGCGCCTCCCTGCAAACTGTGTCAAGAAACGTTGGGTGAGTTCCTGCCATGAATCGATGCAGCCTTCGGGCAATCGGTTGAACCATTCGTAGGCTGGTCCCTCTACGGTGGAGAGGAACCAACGGCACAAATATTCGTCCGATGCCCCCACCATCATCATCATCATCCTGTTCTTATATCTGCTGTAATGCTCCTGGGGGTCAGTCTTCCCGTCGTAGGGCTTGATGAGTTGCCCTCGGTTCTTTCCCGGAATCTGGGCCGCCAATACCCTTGGGGTAAATGGCGTCCTAGTCCGAAGTTGGATGATGGGTTCCCCGGAGCCCTCAGCTATTTTCTTTTGCATCTCCTCCATTTTGGCAAGTATGGCGGTGTATTTGGGGTCCGTCTTGGAGGCGGAAGCGGTTGTGTGCACTTAACGGGCCTCCATCTCATCAAGGCGGCGTTGGAGGGCTTCAATGGTTTCGTCCATGTGATCCTTCGGGAGGGCCTCCGCCCCCTGCAAACAAACACGGGCCGAGTGAGCCTGGTTGATTCGATGTCTTGCGTCGTCGGCATGGAGTGATGCCTTTCCTTTGTCCTGAGGGGGACGCCTTTTGTCTGCTCTTGAGACGGAACCTCCGCTTTCCTGAGGCCTTTGGAGCACCTTTCCTCCGAGGCGGTCTTGGACCCCCTCGGCGGTCTTGCGCCCCTCCGAGTCTCTCGAGGGCAGAGGTTCGAGGCCCCTCTTTGTTCGCACCACGTTGGTCCCGGGATTGGACCTCCTGGGATGTGGTATCTTGGTCTATGACCCACTCGTTGTTCCCTAGGCGAAGGATAGGGCTCATGAAGGGGGCGGAGGAGGGGGAGGAATGGCGTTCTCCCCGACATGCGGCTGGAGTGTTACCAGCGTGCCGAAGGCACCTGGATTTTGAGTGAGTGTTGGGATGAAGG